CCTTTTTTTTTTTTTTTTTTTTTTTGAGTCAGAGTCTCACTCTGTTGCCCAGGCTGAAGTGCAGTGGCACACTCACGGCTGCCCCAGCATCGACCTCCTTGGCTCCAGTGATCCTTCCGCCTCAGCCTTCTAAGTAGCTGGAACTACAGGCATGTACTACCACACCCACCTAATTTTTTATTTATTGTAGAGACGAGGTCTCACCAAGTTGCCCAGACTGGTCTCAAACCGACGCATGGGCTCAGGCAATGCACTCCCCTCTGCCTCCCAAAATGCTGGGATTACAGGCTGACACACTGAGCCCAGCCAAGTTTAATTATTCAGAAGGACCTTGTGACCTTAGAAGATGAAGAGGTGGTCATCAAAACTGGTAACCAGACACTTGGAACCCTCTACTCCAAGCTCATGGCCTGCTTAATCATGGTTGTAAAAGTATACAAAGCCCCTTGTCAAAGGCAAGCACATGTCCTCTCTTAAGGGACCCGTGTGTCCTTTGAACATGGCTCTTTCTTTCTAATATAATCTATCTTTCTATTAAATTACTGTGCGGCAAAGTCAACGAACCCACAAAGCAACGCATTGCGCCCTGCTGCATCCCAGGACTCCCTCTAAAATGCTTTCCTGTAGGGGAAAGTCAAGAACTCGGGTGCAACCACACCCCCCACAGCACAGCATCAGTTTCTTTTCTTTTCTTTTTTCTTTTTTTTTTGAGTTGGAGTCTCACTCTATCATCCAGGCTGGAGTGCAGTGGCTGGCTCACAGCCACCGCAGCCTTGACCTACTGGACGATCCTTCCACCTCAGCCTTCCAAGTAGCTGGAACTACAGGCGTGTGCTACCATGACCAGCTAATTTTTTGATTTATTGCAGACACGAGGTCTCACCTGTTAGGGTACGGCAGACAGGGTGAGGGTGGAGTGGCGAGGGGAGGCGAGCAGCACTGCTGGGGCCGCCAAACCGGAGGTACGTGCTGGCAACCCCGAGATCTGAGTAAATGCAAAGAATTGTGACACACCAAAAGGTTAAGAAAGAAAAGTTTATTTAAAAGCAAATTATAGAAAGAGAAAGAAGGAGGAGGGACCAAAGCCAGGAAGCATGGCGACAGCCATGGCTCAAACAGCACATGGCCCCTGGTTGCTTGTGGTTGAGTCCTTTTAACCATTCCCCTTGATGGAGGAAGATCATTAGGGTGATTGGGTGATGGTCTGCTTCCAGGTCATCACACAGGGACAGGCAAGCTGCAGGTACTGATGATGTCAGGTGATGGACAGCAGGCAGATGGGTGGGTTAGTCACATGATTGCTGCCATGGTGGGACTTATCTGTGTCACGTAGTTCACAGGGCTGATTAGGTTAACCCTGGGCAGGGAGTGTGATTCCTGCAAGAGACTTGTTAGACATTTGCAATTCACAAATTCCTTGACCAGAGGTGGGGGGGTCGTTCAGGTTGTCCTGTAGTGGCCGAAAGTTCAATTCGAGAGACCACCAAGAGCCAATTCCGATGAAAGTTCAAGAGGGTCTTTATTTACAAGCTCGAGCCTGGGCCTCTGTCAACCGACACAGCGGAGTACATTCAGAGGCCCTGATTTCCTTAAGCAGATGCCTTTTATGCTTTTACACAAAGGGAGGAGGAGTG